GCATACGCATTGTGGTGTTCCCCTCACATGTGCCGAAAGCATGAAGCATGCCCAAAAAATGGGAGATCCGGGCATCTGTCCTGGAGAAAACTGCGATCAAAATTTCTGCGAAGAGCGACTTTTTGGGGACTCTGTCTGAGCTGATCCTGAGTTGCGACAACTTTTAATTTGTAATTCCATATTTTCAGCAGCTTAAACTAATTTTTCATTATTGAGCTCGAGATATTTCAGATATGAAAACCGTGGACGTTAGTCACCATACCTTTGTGGAGCCTGTACGCCGAATTCTGAACGTTTTCGACATGAAACACTTCTATTTTTCGGAGGTAATAACTCGTAGAAGTTGGTTCTCCCCTTTTTTCTCACATTGTTAATTGACACTGACTTTGTATTAGGTGTCGTTCAAACCTCACGCTTTGAGTATTCGGCTATTTGAGCATCCCAAGTGGTGTACTCACCGAAAATGTCTAGTATGGAACAAAATACTCATTTGCACACCATTTAGCCAAGTCGTCAAATCTCCAGATCGATGTGTATACGTCGCTTTGGCTGCTTTCATACTCCATGATTTTGGAGTTAGGAGAATAGGTAGTAGTGAAAAAATTGTGTTACTATTATTTTCTAGATGTAGCTTGTTCTGAATTCTTGGTATAGGGATTAAAGCAAAATATCAAGTAGTATTCCAAGCACTTGATTCAACTAAAAAGCGTTGAATATTGGGCATTGTTTGGCCTCTTTTGGGATGCACCAATTCGCGGACTGGCTACCAGCGAATCGCCGTATTCGCTAAGTTTGACACCGGCATTACCGATTCAATAGGGATTTGTTTGGCATTCACGAGATTCGGTTTTGCATGCCCCCAAACATGCCGTGGACATTGGTTAGTGCAATACCTTCACCCATGTGTTAGGTAGGTTTAAAGGAGCTGATCTTGTTCTGTTGCACGCATTCTCTAGAACCTCTTGAAGAACTGCGAGCACATGGTGATTAGTTGGCACCATTGTCACCATTTACGGTGTTGCTATCCAGAGAGTGAATGACGAGACTTTTTACCCGTTCAAAATATACTGAATTACGCACCCAGTGGCGGAAAAGCAAAGAAATCCGTCAAGAACCCGCAAAATGGGACCATTTTATGTGCTTGTTGACCCAACAACGGACGAGCCAGCACCCAATTAGGGATCGTTTGCACGTATCAATCCGTTGCCACGATACTGCCGAAAGTACCATATTTTGATGGATAACGCTATAACTTCGTATAATGTATGAAGACGGCCGCTCGAAGTGGAGTACCTTACAAATTGACCTGGCAACACGCTAAGAGCACAGTAAGGGTTGGCAAGCCCAGTGCGATGCCTTCAGAAATTCAGTCTGTACCGAACAGTGCGTTGAATAACTCCAGGGTTTACTCGGATACGCCATCCATATCCCCTCGAGTTCCTCCGCGACCGCCACCCTTACCAACACAACCCATACCGCCCGGCACAAGGGTAGCTGCTGTTGCCCCATTAATGAGCAACAAAACTAGCTCGTTACCGGTGAAGGTAAGGTTAAAGTCATTTTTGGGTAGTGGAGCGATCCAAATAATATTTGTTTAGCGTCGTCCTGCACCCCACTCAGATGTGATATGCCTAAGTGACGACGAGCCTGGTCCTTCGGCTGCGAAGCGCGCAGCGAACTCACCAGCCGGGGCTTCTCCATTGACTATGAAGAACAAACCTGTTGACAGTACTAATCGATGCAAGGTATGGTTCTTTCGTTGTTCCGCGTAACATTACTGTAACTCGGGCATATGGGTAGGCTGAGTGGTCGCGGCCAAGTGTTCTCTTTGTGCAATGTTAAGTTACTCCCTGAGAACTCGCTTCCAGATTTGTGATGCTGCGATGGCGACGCCACAAATTCAGTCGCTGCATGAGCTGCATAGAAATGGAATGGTGGGTTGTCTTTTGTCTTTAAAGCTGTGTTTTGAACATATTCTTCCAATCCTTCTTAACAAGGCTATTCTTATGTATTTGATTGGTTGTATCATCTGTTTAGAAATGGTTCTGTCTGGATTGCGCCAGCGCTCAAATGGACGAAGTGGAGGCGATGAAGCACTACTTCAGTACGCATGTCAAAGTTGCTGAACAGAGAGCTATTGAGAAAGGTATTCAATCTGGTTTCCCTTCTTTTCATTTTGGCTTCTGAATGTGTTATTGCTTCATTTTTTTGTGTTTTCGTTCCGTCTAGTTCGTGTGAAGCTTGTGTATTACCGTTGCGTGTCGTTGCCATGCGCTGTGTTTTGTTTGATGCCACGTTACAGGGCATACCATGCTTCATAAGACGCTTTTCCAGTAAGGGAGGCATTTTGGTGCAGAGCACTCGAGACATTCGAAACCACGACAATTTTTTTCTTCCATAATAAACTCTAGTCGAAATAATACTAACCTAGTTTCCAATAAGGCATTGTTTCACAATAGCTTGCCACACTAGTTGAAATATGGATCACTCGATTCGATGCCACTACCGGACATCTGCAAAGAACTCGTCATCAAATTTGTTCCTGTCAATCCGTCTCTAATGTTGACCGATTATTTGATGCGACAACATGCTGATTATTTGTTGCGTATGTACACCAACTGAAGGATCAGCAAAGTTAAGCCGTCCAGCATGAAGATTTTTGGTTCATTCACCCTGGAGCTCTTTTAGGCTCATGTCTACAATAGTTTTTTTTTCTTCAAACGTCCAACCCCAGATGCTGCTCATCATTCAAAATTCGAAGTAATGTCGAAGTAACGTAGCTTGTATTCGCAATCTTAAAGATTTCCTTGTGCAGAGTTGGGATCGCTGGAATCGTACGTACTGCACCAAAGTGCCCCTGTTTACTGGAAAGGCCCTAATCTACATTTGTTACATATTGGATTCCTTG